ATCTTACAAAGGGTTGTACATGCACATTCATGAAGGTGATGGTGCTGTAGCTGGCTTATGTTCTGGGATTTATTCTGCTTTTCAGATCAGGATGATGCTTTCAAGAAGGAATTTAGGAATCCTCCTTTCCATAAAAGTTTGTTTACACATCCCAGGGATATATTTGTTAGAGCTCTTAATTTCTTATATAATTCAAGTATAAATCCATCAGGACTAGAGATTTTGGTTTGCAACTTTTAGTAAATTTATCACTTTTATTGATGGATGTACTCTTTTTATGTGTTGCTGTTTCTTCTTTGGCAGTTTACATGTCTAGACATATTGACATTTTTATAAATTTATTCTGGATAGATTTAATTTTGTTCTAAATGTATACATTGATAATCTTCAAGATTTTCATAAGTACTGTGTAATTTCACATTTTCTACATCTAAGTGTTTGGATTTGCTTATTTTTCAGAGGGGTAAGAATGCCTAGGAGTTTGTCTACTCTGTTCAATCTTTCAAATAATTAATTATTTGATTTCTTTTCTTTTTTTCTTTCTGTATTTTAGTAAGGGTCTAAAAGGTCTCACTAGGTAGATCAGGCTCAGAGTGATCCACCCGTGTTCAGCCTCCCAAGAGCTGGAATTACACGCGGGTGCCACCAAGCCCAGTCTTAATCTTCATCTCAGTCTGCTCCATTGGCAGGGCCAGCATGGCATGCCATGGAATGAACCCTGGCCACTGTATATTTTCTCTGTTTTTATGGAATCTAAATTTTTTTTGTATTTTCCTTTTTGTTGGTTACTTTCCTTTTTTGTCTTTTTTTTTTTTTTTTTAAACCGGGGATTGAACTCAGGCCCTTGTCCTTGCCAGGCAAGTATTTATCATACTGAACTATCTCCCTAGCCCCATATTTGTTGATTTGTTGCCTTTTTAATTTTTTTTTTTGTTTTTATTTTTTTTGTTTTTTTGGCGGAACCAGGGATTGAACTCAGGCCCTTGTGCTTGCCAGGGAAACGCTTATTCCACTGAGCCATCTCCCTGGCCCCTACTTTCCTTTTTTTTCTTCTTTTTTTGTTACCTGAAATCTACTTCAGGAATTAGCACTTGCCAGGCAAGCTCTTATGTTATTGAGCTACATCCCCAGCACTGTATTGTTTACTTTCAATAACTCAGTAACAAATAAGGAATACCTAGATTTTCAAATCCAGAGCAACTCAGGCTTCACCTGCCTCTGGCTTCCAGGAAGGGCCTGTGCATCCTGAGCATGTTTCTTTCTGATATGCTACCTGTCCATGGTTGACTCCTGAGAATGTCTATCACCCAGTCACTGTAGATGTGTAACACTTGGCACCCTGAAGTGAAGTTGTCCTGTGGCTGTTCTGAAAATCAGGTTGAAATACTCAATAGTTACTGGGAATGGAGCCCAAGCGTACACACTCTATAAGCATGTGCCAGGCACTTGCATAGGAGGCAGTCTGCTGCTGTTTTCTGTGAGAGCACTCTGGGAACATAATTGCAAAGCGTCCCTGAGATCATGGTAACTGGTAGTGTACTGAAAAGTCATGAGACTTTATCCCTATTCCTCTAACAGTCCTCATGTTTCAGACAGACTTCTACAAATTCAATCAGTTTCCCAAGAACCAGGAACAAGTGGAAGACTCCAATTTGATTTTTGCCTATTCATTGATGCACACTATATATACAGTTTCTCTACAGTACTTTTTATTGTACGTGTTCACAGTAGATACTGAGTATCACAGAGGAGTATTTTAAGTGCATAATGCATCTTGTTTTTTCCTGTACTCACCGTTTTAAACAGTTGTATTTCCCATTTTCCCCTTGTTTTCCTGTAAATCAGTTATCATTCCTTCTCTATTTCCAGCAAATCTGGTCCTATTTTTTATTGAGCAAGTTTATCCTACTCCCAAATATTTATCTTCAGTATAATTCCATATTCATAGTTTGGTATTTCCACACAGAAAAACAATGTGGTATTTGAAATGGTATGTTCAATTTATTTCACCTCAGGTATGGACTCAAGGTGTATCCATTTTACATTGAAAATATCTTCAATTTAGCCTTATATTTGGCTGAGTGTTTCTTCCTTGTATATATACACAGTATTTTCTGGATCCATTCATTTGTTGATGGGATGAGCATATGGTATTTTCAGCAGCAAAATTTATAGTAGCTCAATGGCGAAAGCATTCTATGCAGATCTCAGCTTTTCTGTTAGAAACTTCTGGATTCCTTGAGATCTGTTTTGTCAGCAGTTGCATTGTCTCCTTCTGTTGCAATTTTGTTTCTTATTTTTTTCTCCATAATTGTATTGAAAAACAAATAGCAATGAGACAGTTTCAAACCAAATTGGTAGGACAGCTTCAATAATTAACACATTGCATACATTCTTCCTAGTGGTTAATTGCTGTATAAGATGTGGACTTGATATCCTATTTACAAACACCATTAGAACAAATCCCTCTATTCATTAAGAGAATGTAACTATATATCTATCCTAACCACTTTGAATGCACAAATACAAAATGCACATTCATCTGTAACCCTTTTTTCATTAAGTTCCATCATTTAAATATTATAGGTGTGTAAACTCAGCAAAATATTCTAAAAGAGTTCAGTAGTCCATAATAGTATTGGGTCTTGTGCTTCACTGGCAATGTCAGAAATTGTTGATCTGAGTGCCCTACAGCTCAACATAACAGCATGGCTTTACTTCATATACTTCATTTTTATACTTTTCTGCTGGATGGTTAAGACCAAGGTAAAGCAGACCTATGCAACAAGAGTTGTAGCTTTTAGGTCTGAGAAGGTCAGTGAAATCCCCTCAGGATTGATCCTGAGATCCTGTACCTCAGATTGCAAATCCTTTGTCAGTTTCAGCCATGTGGATGAGTCACGGCCATTGCTTGGCTAATGTGCTCTCTGTGAAAGCCTGAGAGAATGTTTTCTCTTCATGTGACTCTCCTTAGGCACACTCTACATCATTGATCACTTTCCTCTTTGGCACCATAATCTCCTTGATCAGAAAATTTGAGACACTACTGAGTTACATGACGTTACAGTACAAGTTCTTGTATGTCCTGAGTCTTATGTGACCTTGGAAGGCTAGTGCCAAAATGTTGGCTTTCCTTGTAGCCCTCCTTTTTCTCTAATTTTGGTCTTCAAACTTAGGTTGTTAACCATCCAGATGACAAACTTATTGTTATTACCATACAACCTAGGTTGTTAAGCTTAATCTCACTATCTGTCTGAATATCAAACATCTTAGGCATAACATGGAACAGGTATTTTTCATCAAGTATTGATATGTTGAACTTTAAGTCCCTACAGAATATAATAGAAAAACATTTAAAATTAGAATATATTTTAAAAATTGGCATAAAGAATTATATACTTTTTATGTTTACACATACGGTCAAAAATCTCACCATATACAACCTTGAAGCAGGACAGGCACACAATATTCCTTTTCATATCTCTTGCCTTCATTCACCACCCCCTTCTTTTTGAACAATCATCTACCTGAGAGAGCACAGCAGCAACTGGCATGTCATGATAAGCAGCCCGTATTCAGAAGACCAGAATGACAAGCATGTCAAGCATGAAACTACTATTACAAATTACTATCCACAGTGCAGTTGCTTAGTTCACAGGTATCAGTATATATAGTTAGTCAGGGTGTGAATCTTTCCAATTAACTGCTAGATTCAAAAATCTTCTGGAGATTCTTGGGATTACTGCCTCGCCCATCTTCTACATATAACTGTATGGCTTGATATTGTCATGTTTCCTTGCTCTTCTCCTTTCCCTCTCTTTATTAGTTAGTCCTCAAGATCCTGTTTTCCTTTTACTTGTAGTATACTTTTCTATTTGTATTTCTTCCTTTGGGTTCTTATACTAGGGAAACTATGTGTCTAGCATGTTGATTCCAAACCTTGGAGAAGCTGAGTTGCTGCTGCTCACCACTCTGCTCTTCTCCAGAACTAAAGAACTGAAGGTAGCCCTCACCCATTAATAACCCCGCATAACCTGGCTTCTTCTGTTATTAGGCTGGATTTCTTTGTGTGTGTAGTTGTGTAGGAAATATTCACATGTGTCCCACAGTTGTGAGGTGAGGAAATACAAGGATTTATCAGCTTCACGGTAATGATGGAAGAGGTTCCCTCTCCTTGGGCACAGAGATCATAATGAATTTTGGGAATTACAGCTGTTGGTCCAAAAGAGCTGATGCCATATATCTTGTCTCTGAAGCGTGATTATTCACTATCAGGAGAGGAGATAGTTCTGTTCCATGACTTTACTCAAGTTAGTGGAAGACTGGGTCATGGGCCCTACTAAAGAATATTTGAGTGACCTAGTTAAGCAGAAAGGCAGCCATTCAGCCTGAACCATGGGGCTGTACCACTCCTTCCCAGCACAAATGGGAGGACTGGGATTGCAGGGCTATGGCTCCTTTTTTTTTTGTGGAAACGGGGATTGAATGCGGACACTTGCACTTGCCAGGCAAGCGTTTATTTTACTGAGCCATTTCCCCAGAGTATGGTTCCATTCTACAGAGAGACTGTCCCTTTGCCTGCTATAGCAACTGACAGATTCAGAGGTGAAGGACTTGTTGTGTGTCAGTGTGTACATCTGAGTAAGCAGAGGAAAAACTGTACTGGGATTGGATGTGAGTTGCTTGCCTTGCTGTGAACTGAGGGTTATCATTATCACAGAAAGAACAATTCACAAACCCCAAACTTCCTATGCTACACTGTCTTCCCTAGAGCCTTATCCTGTGAGTTCTACTTCAGCCTGCAAACAGCTTCATCTTGTATCCCAGGATCATGTGGACTGGATCTTGAGAAGCCTATGGCACCCCCCCCAAGACATAAAATGGGTCTTTGTGGGAGGCAACATGTATGTTATTCTGAGCTGAGAATAAAAGTCCCCATTTCTCCTCCAGGCATCTGAATCTTCAACAACAAGATCTTCCTGACTCCACAGAATATCATGATGCCTCATGGTCAGGTCAGCCAAGACAGAAACCTCGGGGAGGCCCATCCTGACCAGAACAGTGCACAAGGCCTCAGTCTTGTGCAGGGTCCCATACATGAGGAGGAACCAGCATCTACTGTTACCTCTGCATCCTCTTCCTCCTCTACTTTAATGGGGAGCACAGCAAGAGAAGAGCCCGGGCCTGTGAAACCAAGTTGTCCTCAGAATTCTCAAGGCATCTCCACTCCTAGCAATGGCATGGCTTCCAGTGAAAGCAACCAGTGCTGTGCAGGCACCAAGATTCAAGAAGGGGAGGGTGCAAGTCTGTCCCAGGACAAGGTTGCCCCTCAGATCAGGATGGATGCATCTGAAAATGATAAGTTAGATATGATTGTGCGATATCTGCTTCAGAAGTATCAAAATAAGGAGCAGATCACCATGGAAGAAGTGGTGCACATGGTGGACCACGATTCCCCTGGTGACTTCCCTGTGTCTTTTAGTGAAATCTGTGAGTGCATGCATATGGGCTTTGGCATTATTATAAAGGAAGTGGATTCCACTGCCCACACATACGAGCTTGTCTCTACTTTGGGCCTCACTTTTAGTGGGATACTGGATGACACTGCCCAGATTATTCGTAAAGCTGACCTCTTGATACTCGTCCTGAGTTTGATCTTCCTAAAGGGCAACCGAGTTAGTGAAGAGCACCTTAAGGAAATTCTGAGACATAGGAAGATATTAGCCGAGCGATCTCACGTTGCTGTTGAGGATGCCTGGAAGTTCATCAGCTACGACTTGGTTCAGGCAGAGTACCTGGTGTACCAGCAGATTCCTAACAGTGATCCTGCTCAGTATGAGTTCCTGTGGGGTCCGAGGGCACTTGCTGAAACCACCAAGATGAAAGTACTAGAGCATGCCATCATGCTTGATGAGAAAGGACCCAGGGCTTGTCCACACTGACTTCAGCAGCCACTGAGTAAGACAAAAGGCATGTTTAGGGCGTCTTCTGGGCAATATGAGTGACAGCTACAGGGAGTGTTCTGAAGCAAGTCACAGGCTTGGTTTTCAGACTACAAATCATGAGGCCAAATTTTATTCAGTGTTTCTGGAGAGCAGATTTTGTAAGCTGTGAAGGTACAGGGGAGGTGATAAAATTCCCCACCAAGCATCTTAATGTCTTTTCCCTGTATATTACTTAGAGAAGGTGTGTTTCATTATGACTTTTTGAAATCTTGTTCTTTTTAAGACTAAAGTAACATGAAAACATGATTTCTGAAATAATTATAATGTACCATGTGTTTTTCATTCCTGTTGCAAGTGGTTGTGAATTCTTTTGTGTCATTTTTCTTTGACGTTGAATTCAAATGGATTTTGATTCTGTATTGCAAGGATAAGAATTTACCTGTTTTTTAAACCTAGAGGAAGATTTTATTTTACTTAGGAAAAAATTGCATTAATATACAAAATTTAATTATAATGCATAGGAGGAAATTTACATGAATTCAGATGGATCGTAGAAAGAGATGTACTGACAATATCGTTTTAGATTTTTATTTGTTGTTCTTCATTGCCTTTCACTTTTAAAAGCATGTCCACCAACCCTTTAACCCATGAGCTCTGGGGAGATAATTATGTAAACATCAGTAGAGGGGCTGCATGTACTTTGGGTGCCAGCTGAAACAGCTTCATGTTATAATACTAACTCAGTCAAGTGGTGGGCAAAAGACATTGGTGGGCAGCAAATAATTTGGGTAGAAATATACAAGCAAAATTTATTTCTATTATATGTAGCAATAATGGGAATCAAGCTAAGCATCCATATGAAATGATGCAGTGGAAATGCACTGGAGTGTTTTTCATGGATCCAGATTGAAATATATTGGGATACTGAAATGGGGAAAGAGGAATATTGTTGAGTGTAATTGTGTTGTGTTTTAATGTTCACAAGAGCAATCATGACCAAAAAAGCAGCAAGTAAATAAGACA